ACACAGCAAGGCCTTGCATTTCCAGACCCTGCAGTCCCACAGCAGCCACACCAGATGTGTCCTCAGCTCTGCTTTGCTGCATTCAGGGCTTCTCTCAAGGGGTCCTGCCTGGTAAAAGTGCCAGAAGTTTCTGTTTCTCTTCTGTTTCTTACCAGACATGATTTACTTACTGTAACTGGCTATCCGTCATGCCCTGCACTGCATTATTAACTTGGTGATCGTACATTTAGCAGAGAATTTATGAGAAATCAGGAGACATTCATTATCAGTAACACCACAGGCTTTACTCTTATATGGTCTCCCTGCACAGAGCAATGCTTGGCTCAGCCAGCTCCAGCCATTCCCTGGGCCAGAGCAGGCCAGGGCTGCTCTGCACACTTCTGGGGCTGCATTCCCCTCACTTAGAAAAAATTCTCCTTATTTTTTCCCCTATTAAAATATTTTCTGATGGAATTTAACTGGCTTAATCGTGCCATCGTGCCTTCTGTTGTCTGAAAACCAGGATGTTTTTCCTGTTTTCAGGCCAGGGAGCTGTGTGAGGATTGTCTGAGACATTATCTGTGCTTCCCAGCAACTGAACTGCAACAGAAGTGCCCTTAAAAGACTCTCCTTATCCTGAACCTCTGACCTGGAGACAAACATCCCCTCCTTCCTGTACCTCTGAACTGGGGACAAGTACCTGCCCTGTCCCGTATCTCGGAAATGGGGACCACAGGAGGAGTCACAAGGAGCACAGATGGCCAAGTTAAACTCTTGGGGTTTCTGAGCAAAGGCTACCGTGTCCTGCCGTGAGACTTGCACAAGTGTTCCCAGATGTTCTATTAAAGAAAGAGCAACCACAGAGAAACCCAAGCAATGGCCAAACAAACAGAAATCTCAGGTGGAGTCCCAGAGGCACACAAGTCCCAGAGCAGAGAGGCTGTGGGCAGGTTGGAGCCAGGGCAGGCACTGCCATTCGCATGACCTGGATGTCTGACAACCTCCCAGGAATTTGGATTCCAAGAGCAGCACAATGAACCAGCTCCTCCTTGACCTTAGAGCCATCCCACAGCTGTCTGCAGAGCTCTGCATCTCGGAAACCTTCCCATCTTGGAAACCCTTCCCAGCAGCCAGTGGCATTTCTGGCTCCTGAGAAAGGCTGGGCTTCCCCAGCTGCAGGCTGGTGGCAGCTGTGAAGGCTGTGAGGAGCCAGAGCTCCGAGCCAGGGAAGGGATGGGAAGAGCAGAGATGGCTGGAGGCTCCTGGACATTTCCCATTCTTAGGTTTTCACTGAGTGGCCTGAAGACAAAGCAAATATCTACATCTATCTATCTATCTATCTATCTATCTATCTATCTATCTATCTATCTATCTATCTATATCTATATCTATCTTTTAATCTATATCTATATATCTATATATCTATATTTATATCTATATATCTTCTTTATATCGATATCTCTATATATCTATATATCTATATCTATATATCTATATATCTATATTTCTATATATCTGTATCTATACCTATCTATATCTATATTTATATCTATCTTCTTTATCTATATCTATATATCTATATTTATATCTATATATCTTCTTTATCTCTATATCTCTATACATCTACATATCTATATATCTATATATCTATATATCTATATACCTATATATCTATATTTCTGTATTTCTATATATCTGTATCTATATCTGTATCTATCTCTATCTAATCACCCATATCTATCTGCTCCATCTCACAGGATATTCTGAGTCTCAGTTTCTCAATGCCCCATGGCTGGGAAGGGCTGGGCAGCGCTGGTGCTCCATGGGGGCTGCTGCATCCTCTGACCCCAAATGGGTGCTCCAGACCGTGCAGGCTTTGGCAGCAGCCAGGGGAGGGAAAGCTATGCAAAACATGCCCCAGGGAGCTGCCAGGCATCCCGGATTACCTTCTTTGGAGCGCTTTTGGAGGTTACATGAAGGCAAAGCCAGTTCTTCGCAGGAGTTTGTGGCTGCTCCAGCTCCCTCCAGTTCCTGCCCTGGGGCTGCCAGATCCCTGCCCAGTCCCGGGGCTTTCCTGGCAGCAGAACCGCCCCCATCCCCAGCACCCCGAGCCCGTCACGCCGGGAGGAGAAGCAGAGCACAATTAGAGATGTGGCTGCGCCTCTCTGCAGACGGTGGGGATGGGAATTAATCCTCCCATTAACGGGTGAAATGGAGCGTTTGCGTCTCACAAAGCAATTACACAAGAATAGACGGAGAACGATGATAGAAATCACATCTTCTCTCAAGTTGCTCTCCAATCCAACACATGAATAATTCCTCCTAGGCATTACTGGGAAAGCAGCATTAAAACACCCATATAAACAAGAATTACTGGAAAAAAACAGACGAGGCATGCTTCATCGCTCTGTCAGAGCCAAGCACAACTAAATTTATACAAAGTGGGCAGAGAAGCTTGAAGGGGCAAAGACATTTGTTACTGCTCTGTGTGAGATGAGCTCACAAGGAACGCGTGCTTGATCTTGGCAGCTTTTTGATGTCTTACTCCTAAAGCATCAGCTTTAGTCTCGGTTTCCATGGCAGATCCTTTTCTGAGCTTGTATCTTCCCCAGATATTGCTAATTTATGCTGTCAGCCACATCTCTGCAAATACCTGCAGAGTGATTCCATGTGCAGTGGAAGTGGTGAAAACAAGGCGCACGTGAACCGGCCTCAGCTCTTGGTTTTTGACCAGGGGACAAAAAAAAAGGGTTTGTTTTCTTCAGCCCACAAGATCTTGGCTGATCTCCTGGCACTGAATTTTGCCCCAAGCACCCTGACACTGTGTTATCTGTCCTGTGAAGCAAAGCACTTTGAGCATTTCATCCAGGCACGTGTTTTGGGCAGATTTACCCCCCAGTGCAGCTCTGAGCAGGAAGGGTTGGGCAGCACATGTGGCCCCGCTTCCTTCTGCTCCCCCATCACATTTCATGTTAGCACAGTCTGTAAACCATGAGATCTTTTCCAGGCAGCCACACCACAACTGTTCTATTTTCAGGGTGGATTTATCAGCCCTGCAAATGTTGAACAAGCAGCTGACGAATTGGTCTCACCAATTTGGCAGGGCCGTGGCAAGGTGAGAGGCTGCACGTCTGCCTGGTGGGAGAAGAATCCCCGGGACTTGCAAAGCTGTTGTTTACACACTGAAGCACAGAACATCCAGCACATACAAAAGGAATTGTGAAAAACTTGTAAAAAGCAACTCACACAATGACAGGACCACAGGAAGCGATGGCACGTGCAGAGAGAGCTCATGCCAGGGCAAAGTCCTGGCAGCACTGAGGAAACCCATGTCCTGGCAGGATATGGGCACTGCAGGGGTCAGGGCTGCTTCAGGATGTGCCCAGCAGCACCAAGTCCCAAGTCCCAGGTAGAAAAGTGGCCAGACACTGAAATGAGGCCACCCCCTCTCCTAAGGAAAGAAGCCTGGCAAGTCCTGGCCAGCTGGAAGCTGATCTGAGCCTGGCTGGAGCTGGGCTTGCCAATCATTCTGGGGCTCAGGAGCAGCCTGCCCTGCTCACAGTTCACCTGGTGACCAACAAGTCACAGGTAATCCCCTTCTCCATTCTGAGCCAGCACAAACATCCACACAAAGGCTTCAGGTGTGCTCAGCTCTTCACTGCTCCTGCTGAGTGCTAGAGAGGCCCAGACATATCCCCTGAGTGTGGCTCAGACATGTCCCCTCCCTCTGTTCGAAGGAGCTGAAGTTCTAAAGGGAATGTGGAATAAAAAGCATCTGGGTGACATTTCCTTGGATCTGTTCTTCAGTGTGGTCAGAGGTGATTTCCGCAGCCCTCTGGTAAAAAAGGGAAACCCCTGGTCTGAGCGGGATGGGGACAGAGGCTGCTCCTGGAGCCTTTCAGCCAGGATGAGTAACAGGGTCAGCAGCAACACTAAACAAATTTCTACTTTCCTAAACAGAGCCTCTGCAGCATCCGGCCGCTTTAAAACATTAACCAAAATACACTTATCTCTGGCTCCTGGCCTTAAGTGACTCTTGAACCCACAGCTATTCTGGGCCAGGTTGGATTGTGCTCAGTGCAGTCCAGGTGTGTGAGGCCAGCAGGAGCACTGGTGGGCAGAGGCAGACCCTTGCTGTGCCCTGCTCACAGTGCCCCTCGAGTGAGAAGGGACCCAAAGGGACATTGAGTGCAGCTCCCTGCTCCTCACAGGAGCCAAAACTGACCTGCATGACTAAGAGAGAGTCCTCCCAGCCCAAGGGCTTGTCATTGACCAAGGGTGGTATGGAAAGCCTTGTGGAGCAGAGGTGAGTTTTCTTTCCAGCACTAATGAGCACGAAATTTAAGCAAAAGGACACTGGAGGCAGGAGCAGGGCAGCAAACTGAGTTTTCTTGCTCTCCCTGAGACCATTGCCATGGTGTAACACCCAGGGAAGTCATCTCAGGGGATTTTATGGATCACCTGCCTCTGGGACAACACTTGTCAGTCAGAAACTGCAGCTCTGTGTGCACTAAAGATGAGCTGCACCTGCTGGGAAGCAGAAAGGAACCCATGTCCACACAGGAGCAGGTTTGCAGTGCTGGCAGTGGAGACAGAGCCAAGTTCTTGGCTGTTTGCACAGGCTCCAGCCTGTTGCTAGCATTGCAGCAGGTCTCACCTGGAGATTTACTCATTTATGATTTGATATATTGTGCACAAAGTGCTGTTCACATGCAGCAAGGACAGCAGCAGAGTTTGTGCTGTGCTGGCTCAGTCCCATGGTTGAAGCCTGCTCTGTAGTGGGTCAAAAAACCCCAACATTTCCAGAAGAAGAGTTCCAGAAGCAGAGAGGACTTTTCATCTCGTCCGCACGCCAGGAAAGTTGGCAACTTAAATGTTAAACTTTGCCTGCGACTGTTGGTTGTTGACATCATCGTGATCTCACCGCTGTAACCGGAGCCCTCCGGCTTTTTCCTCCAGCCTGCCTTTAAATACCACTCCTGGAGGCAGCCCAGCAGCGGGGCAGAGCCGGCAGAGCTTCGATGAAAGCAAAGACGAGCTCCAGCACTGCAGCCATGTCCACATCCCTGCGGGTGAGCCCCTCGGTCCATGGGTACCGCTTCGACACCGCGCTGCGCAAGAAAGCCGCGGCCAACATCTTCGAGAGCATCAACGAGGCGTCCCTGCAGAAACTCTTCAAAAACTCCGGCGACAAGAAGGCGGAGGAGAGAGCCAAGATAATCCTCGCCACCGACCAGGACATGGAGGAAAAAACGCGAGCGCTGATGGCACTAAAGCAGAGGAGAAAAGACAAACTGCTGCAGTTCCTGACGTTTCGGAAATACTCCATCAAAGTTCACTGAGCTGGCGGAGGGAGAGCGTTTTGTGACGGGACTGTTTGAGAGCTCCCAGCACGCTCAGCATGCTCGGCTGCCCCGTGGGCCTGGGGACCTGAGAGTCCATGCAGGGGGCTCCAGCCCCACTGCAAACCATGAGCCAACAGCGGCAGCGCTGCGGGCAGCAGCATCGGTGCCCACGGCACGTTGGTGTGGCCAGCAGCAGCATCGGTGCCCACAGCAGGACTGGTGTGACCAGCAGGATCAGTGCCCACAGCAGGACTGGTGTGACCAGCAGCATCAGTGCCCACAGCAGGACTGGTATGACCAGCAGCATCGGTGCCCACGGCACATTGGTGTGGCCAGCAGCAGCATCGGTGCCCACAGCAGGACTGGTGTGACCAGCAGCATCAGTGCCCATGGCACATTGGTGTGGCCAGCAGCATCAGTGCCCACGGCAGGACTGGTGTGACCAGCAGGATCAATGCCCACAGCACATCAGTGTGGACAGCAGCCTGATCAGTGCCCATGGCACATTGGTGTGGACAGCAGCCTGATCAGTGCCCATGGCACATTGCTGTGGCCAGAAGCACTGGTGTGACCAGCAGGACTGGGGTGGCCAGCAGCATCAATGCCCACAGCACATCAGTGTGGGCAGCACATCGGTGTGGGCAGCAGGACCAGTGCCCATGGCACATCAGTGCCCACAGCAGCACTGGTGTGGCCAGCAGGACCAGTGCCCATGGCACACTGGAGTGGACAGCAGCATCGATGCCCACAGCACATCAGTGTGGACAGCAGCCTGATCAGTGCCCATGGCACATTGGTGTGGCCAGCAGGACCAGTGTGGCCAGCAGGACCAGGGTCCATGGCACATCATGTGGACAGCAGCCTGGTGGCCAGAGGCTCGCAGAGAGACACAGCAGCTCCCAGCTGGGGCAGTCGAGCTCCTCTGGGCAGCCATGGGACAGAGCTGGAGGAAGCCCCCACACCCAGGACCCTCCTGATGGACTTGGTGCTCACAGATTCGCTCTGCCTCTGAGCCCCGGTGCTGTGGTGGTGGGGGGCTCTGGAGACCTCCCAGCTGCTGGGCAGGGTCACTTTGAATCGGTGAAATGCCCCCAAAGGCAGCGTGTGGTGCAGTCAGTTCAGCCGTCCGGGAAAGCGTCAGCTCCAGAGACACTGCACAGCTGGGCCTTTCCTTGCCAAGCTCTGTGTGTGCAGGAAAAGTCTTTTGCACAGAAGCAATAATAATGACAGATTTCCCTGAATTTACTGTGAAGTTCCCTAATATTATGTTCACTTACCACTAACACTAAAAATCTAAATATAATAACTACAGTTCTTCTCTGTGTAGGTGACAGCCACTATTAGATGAGTACTTACTTCATGGCAATATTTTATGACAATGTTAATATTATATTGGCTATAATTTATTGCATACAGTGATGTGAAAACTAATAAATTATGAAGTAAATCTAAATTATCTTGTCTGAAATGCTCAGTTCTCCTGGAGTGGTGGGGTGAGACTTTTTTTGGCATTTCATAGAGGTCTGGTTTAGGAGCAGACTACCTGCACCTGTCCCTCATTCCCCAGATATGGCTTTGGCAGCCCAAAGGATGTGGAGCAGCCCCTGGCTCCCCCATCCCACCAGCCTGGCCCACAATTGCTATGGCAACCATGCCATTTCCCCAGAAAAGCCTCACCAAATTTATTGCTAATCAACTCCAGCGTCAGTTCCCCCTCTGTAATAAAGCAGAATTACATCTTCTGCATTGAGGAAAGGTGTAGAAAATGATAGTTCAGGAGCGTGGCTTGTCAGCCTTTGGCATTTCTGCAGAGCAGAGAAAACATGGGCTTGGCTCCTCACCACCCAAAGAAACAGCAGTAAGTTACAAAGCTTTGGCAGCAGAACTGGACTGTTTTTCTGCAGGTTGTGCTGTACTATCATGATAGACGATGCTGAAAGTACTTAAAAATAGCAAAGACTGGTTATTTATAAGTCTGTCCTCTAATAACCTGATGGTTTAGATAAAAACATTCCCATGACTCCGCTTAGAGCAACAAAGATAAAGCAGCTTGGAAGAGCAATAGCCCAGCTACAGTTGTTTTTTTGTTTTTTTGCCTACAGTAAGAACTCCAAATTGCCAATAAGTCAGGGAGACTGGAAATAATCTTTTAAGTCACCTAATAGAATGGCCAATTATAATTATTTATAACTGGAGAGGGATGCACGATGATTTCCCCTCCCAGGAAGACCAGTGCTAGACTTGGCAGAGCCTTGTCACCCTCTGGGCCCCAAAATCAAACCCAGCCAGGGCCAATACTGGATTTGGGAGAACCTTGTCACCCTCTGGGCCCCAAAATCAAACCCAGCCAGGGCCAATGCTGGATTTGGGAGAACCTTGTCACCCTTTGGATCCCAAAATCAAACCCAGCCAGGGCCAATGCTGGATTTGGGAGAACCTTGTCACTCTCTGGGCCCCTAAAACCAAACCCAATGCTGTATTTGGGAGAACCTTGTCACTCTCTGGGCCCCAAAATCAAACCCAGCCAGGGCCAATGCTGGATTTGGGAGAACCTTGTCACTCTCTGGGCCCCTAAAACCAAACCCAATGCTGGATTTGGCAGAGCTTTGTCACTCTCTGGGTCCCAAAACCAAACCCAGCAAATGCTGGATTTGGCAGAACCTTGTCACCCTCTAGGCCTCAAAACCCAGCTGGGGCCAATGCTGGATTAGGCAGAGCCTTGTCACCCTTTGTGTCCCCCAAACCAAACCCAGCTCCCCTTTGTTACCAATGACCTGGGCAGCATTTGCCACCAGCCTTTCCTTGAAAGAAGGAAGCAAATTTTGCAGAAGCCAAGCTTGTGGCAGACTGAAATCCACACCCTCTGAAGTGGTTGCTGCTGGCACGTCCTGGGATTGCCCAGACAGTCCTGTTCACAAGATTTGCACAACATGATTCATAACATCTGCTGACTTGGGGATTTTATAGTCCCTCTTGTCTCATTACGTTGAAATCATTAGCCTGAGTGGTATCCCTGATAAATAAAGGCCACTTACTAAGAAGTTATGTGATTATTGGGTATTTACAGTGAAAAAAGGCACTTTTCCTTGGTTGTAGCCTGTCTGCTGCTTTGGCAGGTTTGTTCTCCAGGAACGTGCCTTACTCAAAAGGCTCAACAAAACCTGCAATGAATTCTTGTGGAACACAGGCCAAAAAGAGGTTGAGGTACAAATGCCCAACCATCCCAAGGCCCTTGCCCACTCTGCAAGAATTAGCAGCTCTCACTGGTTTAACCTCCCCTGGGCAGGTAAGAAGGGTTTAGCTCCTAGTTTTAGCCTGGTGCTTGGAGAAGGAGTCAGAGCTCTTCAGTTCTCGGTCTCAAGGTTGTTTATTGTTCCTTATCTACAAAATTCTTTCTTTGGCCTGCTGAGGTCTGTTCAGCACTCTGGCCACCCTCAGGGCGGTGTTATCTTTTTATACTAAAAATTATGTGTACATATTTTACCATAACTTCCCAATACCTATCTCCTGTGTTAGACAGTGAGCTTCTACTCTAAACCAATCTAAAAATGCCAACGTCACCCAGAAGATGGAGGCCAAGAAGAAGAAGAAGGAAAAAGGACAAGGCAGGCCCAGATTCCTCCATCTTAGGACCCTGAACCCCATTCTAAAAACCTCAACATCTATTTTTCACCCCATGATAAATTCACTATCATTCTACCTAAACTTTCATGGCTTGTAAATTGTCATATAAGCTTGGCAATTTTTTCCATGGGTCATGATCAAAGGCACAGGGCTTTGTGCCAAGGTCTCTGAGCCCCCTGGGCTCAGCAGACAGTTTACATTTAAAGCATTCCCAATCCAGTAAATGTATGGAAGAAACCATGTTAATGTTAATTACTCATTCTTGCAGTTTGATTAAAATAAATAAATTGAGAATGGATGTCTCCAAATATGTTGGGAGATTCCGTAATTGTTTGGTGAACTTCTGCATGCACAGTACAAGAGAGAAGGATACAGTCAATTACAAACAACTAGACAGCTGAAGAGCACTAGTTTTTGAATTCCAGTTTAAATACAGAAGGGAAAGAAGCACGAGACTTCTTTGGGTGTGGATTGGTCCAGTGGCATTTGCAGTTTCAACTTTTTTTTGCCCGTAAAAATACTCACACCTTGACAAGCTGAAGCAGTCTTTAGGAGGCAGCCAGAGGGATGTCCCGGGTTCTGAGAGGGTGGCAGAGATTAGTTTGGGTTTGGGAGGTGTGGGAGGGCAGGTCAGGGCGGTGCTGTCACTGTCACCAGCCCTTCCTGAACTGCCGAAGTCCCGGCGGCGCCTGCGGGGCCAGGAGCAGAGCCCATTGTCAGCCTGCAGCACAACAAACAGAGGAAAAGGCTGTTCAAGGAATTTCCTCCCTGCAGGAGCCGGGCGTTTCCATTAATTCTTCTCCATGAGTCAGGCTGGCTGTACTGGGTGTCCCCTGTCCCAGCATCCTGAGGAACGTGCGGATGAACAGCTAATTTTATCCAGCTTCTCTGATGCCCTGCTTGGCAGCCGTGCTGGGAGGGTGCTGGTGGCTCCCCACCAGCACTGCTGGGTAGGGAGAAGCCACAGAAAGGCAGGACACAAACTAAGGAGAAGACTTTTGGCAGAAGCTCTGGCTTAATGGACTGGGCAAGGTGGGGAGCAACTCAAGGTGCTGTATTGAATTCGCAGGCAATCCCAACGAGGGGAGAGAGAATGATGCATCTGACTCCAGATGCTAATTAATGACTTTATTATACTATATTATTCTATGCATCTAAAACTGAATCTGCCAAGCACTCAAACTGCACAGAATCTGTCACCCAACAGTTCTGACACACACACACACACCTGGCCCTGACAGCCAAGGAAACAAAACACCATCACTGTGGGTGAGCAATTTCCATATTGCATTCTACTTTTGCAAAACACAATCACAGCAAATGAGATAAGAGTATTCTTGGGAAGAATTGTGCCTTGCTTTCCTCTGTGAAGAGAAATGTGGGGCTGCACACTTGGCCCTGACAGACCAAGGAAACAAAACACCATCACTCTGGGCAAACAATCTCCATATTGCATTCTACATTGGCACAAACAGGCACAGCAAATGATAAGAATTGT